AGTGAATTCGTGTTATAACTCTTCCCATGTTAAGAAAGCTAAAAGAAAGTAAAATATGAAAACACATATAAAAATTATGCATGTAGTATGCATTTGTACGTTAAAATTAAATTTTAAAAAATTATTTAAAGTTAACGGGAAATTAACAATATATATAGCTTTTTGAATGCTGAGCACGTGCATAACGTTGATAACCCTTTTAATAAAATATATTTTAGATTATAACGATGAGAATATTTCTTTTTTTGTATTCTGTTGTAATTATTTTATCGCTCCTGCGCAGTGGTAAATTCAGGAGTTACATTTTCCTGTATTGTAAAAAAAAGCTTATTAGAATATTAAAATAATTGTTAATTAACCAAAGGGAGTTTATATCATTGTCGAAAAGCTCGAAATTATTATTGATGTATGTATCTTCCTCTTCAAAATTCACCTTCAGACTGGCGGGTAGTCCTCTGTTAAAATTYTTTTATTGAATGTTGCTTAGATAACTTTTCAAATGTCTTGCATGTGTGAAACGACTATAATATTTCTTAGAGAATTTAAGCTTAAAACGTTCTGATTGTAGTATTTTTTGTATTCTCATGTAATTTTTTATAACACCTGCGCAGTGATGACTTTTAGAGTTAAATTGTCCTGTATTGTAAAAAATGTTTAATATAATATTAAAATAATTGTTAAATAATCAAAAGGAATACAAATCGTACGTATTGCTCTATCACTCTTTCTCTCACACACACGTGCTCGCGCTCTCTCCCCTTATACGCCGAGCTTGCATACGTTTTCGCTGCTTAGCAACGCTGTGCCGAGCTTGCCTTTGTATGAGCTGCTTAGCAACGCTCTGACGTAAACGACATCCTGTCACGCACCGAGCTTGAACTTTAACAAGCTGATAACATCTTGCAACGCGCGGAACCTTGCTCTGATGTAAGCAACATTCTACGACGCGCCGAGCTTTCCTTTGTCAAGTGCTTTGTGACACACTCACGCACTCACACAATTATAACACATCAAATGTTTCTACTTCCTCAATATAATATATATATATATATATATACCATCCTCCTTCTATATCCTCTCTTACTATTACCCTCTATCCTAACTGAAAACTCGCTTTCGCTATCACCTTCTATTCTAACTCTCACTAATCAAACTAGCAAACTCGCTCCCTTGTCCTTCCTTCGACCTTCTTTTATTTGCGTCTACCCCTTCTTCTCCTCATAACAGGACTTCGACGCTTAGTAACGCAGTTCCTTCTGGAATTTTCCAAAACGCTTTTTCTCGAATGTTCTTTCCTTCCATCCGTTGCTCATCAGTCTTACACACGTATACTCACACACAACTCACCCAACCTAGAACCTTACACGCTTTTCTTTCTTTTAAGCATACATCCGATACTTTCCATATCTTATCTCTTTCTTCCTTTTCCAAACGTACGCACAACACACACACACGCCGGATGCTTCTACTCCACCCTCAGCCATCATGACGTCATACAACAAACTTGCGCTTGTTTCGCTACACACGCACACATGCACAATGCACACCGGGTGCTTCTACTCCCAACCGCGGCTATTATGCGTCATACAATAAGCTTATGTTTGTTCTTCGCCACACACGYATACACATAACAAACACAACAGTAGCTGTAYGWCAAACAATGAACGGTCGCCTCTCGTTCCGTCATCCTCACGCTAGACTCACGCATCCTGACAAAGCAACCATTCCTTATCTCTTTCTTTCTTTCCCACACATACACACGCACCATACGGTCCTTACGCTACGCACACATTCTAATAAAGCAATCATTCTTTCTCTCTTTCTTTCACGCAAACACCCACCTATATATGCTTGTTCCACACTCAGAAATTCATACATAAAACATAGTATAAAAGTATTTGCATAGAAAACAATGTCTCAGTATAAAGTTAAATTTAAAGGAAGACTGTTTCCCGATATTATACTAGGTGTATTCAGATAACAGTGTAGGGAAAACATTTATTACGTATCCGGCTAAGGATATCTGAATTCCTTGCGTAGCCGCTACCACTCGAAAAAAATAGAAAACAAACGCATTTTATTTAACAAGTTAATAAATTACAATCCGTTTAAAACAATTCACACGCAATAATTAGATAAACTCCTTCCGCTGCTTCTTGAAAACTCTTCGACACTAAACCGCACGTAACGAATCGCTATTAACCTAAAACGCTAAACTGCTCGTATTGTATCGTCACTCACTGCACACTTTCACGCTTATTCACTCTCAAAATCGGTCGTTTAATATCGCTCTAATTCAAGTAAATACTATCGCTTTATCACACTTCTTTATCGCACATATCGTTCTCCCTTTCTCTCTCTCTCTCTCTCTCTCTCTTTCTTGTAAACAAGAACTTGCCCGGCAATCAGCTTGCTTTGTTTTCGCTCACTCGTAACGCTCCACGTAGCAACGTGACGTCATACAACAAGCTTGCTCTTGTTCCTTCGTCACACACACACACAGATTTTTGTAACGGGCAAAGTACGGTTTATTTGCATGTGAAAAACCATTGATGGTTACCATAGCAACGCTCTGACGTAGCAACATTACGCCACGAACAAAGCTTGCCTTTGTTTTGACATAAACACACACACACACATACGCAGCTTAGTAGCCAGGAGTGAGGACCACGAATCAAAGACCGAGAATAGGAAAAACTGTAGAGCAATATTCTGTCTCATTCTCTCGCAGGCTCAATCCTATATGTTTATCTCTTTTTCTCCTCTTATTTAGTATCGCTTCCGTTTCATAGCCTCCTACCGTTCCATTACAAAGCGGCCAACCGCTTCATTTTTTACAATTACCGTTACATTTTTCCAAATTACACCCATTCTAAAGAAGTTTTCACTTCAAAAATTTTCATATGAATATATTTTTCTGGTTTTTCAGTTGACTGTCTTCAATTTGGTTTCGTACCTAAACAGAAAATAGTATAWWATTGTGCAATATTGCTTTAAGGGTCAAGAAACCGTGACCATACCAACCTACCAAGAATACCCACCAACCTTCCAAGAAGACCTACCAACTTTCCAAGAATACCCACCCTACGGACTTTTCAGAAATACCCACCCTGMGAACTTTTCAGAAATACTATACAGAAATACAGTTCGTAGGGTTTGTATTTCTGAAATGTTCGTAGGGTAGGGTATTTCTAAAAAGTTTGTATGGTAAATTATTTCTGAAAAGTTCGTAGGTAGTAAAAAACAAACCCAAACCTTTATTCAACTGATTTGTAAACTAATTCATACAACAGAGAAAATAAACTGGAAGTATCTACTCATTATTATCAAGAATGATAAGAAGAATCCAACAATACTGCAACTATGTAAGATTTTTGAATGCACTGTTCTTATTATACTTACATTGGGAAGAAACCATATGCAGTTATATTCTATCAGAAGATTAGCAGAAGGAATGCATCCTAGTTATCACACATTAAGAAAATAAATGGCAAATACAATATATTAGGAAACTCTGTTCTTGTACAAAATCTTTTACCAGGTTTTCTGAACRAAGATGGAAAATATTATTGTTCATCGACTGCCAAGAAAAATTTATGTATTTATATAAATTAATATCTTCCTTGCAAAGAATTCYATGTGAATTATTATGCAAATAGAATGCAGCTGTTCTGACTAAAAAAAAAACTAGACAATAATATGTTAGAGGCAAATATAATAATTTTGTTAGAAGAAGAGRTAAATATTATATTACTATTAAAATAAACTTACTTTTATCATGTAAAAATTGATTTGTGCGTTGCATTTATTTTTAATCAATTATTAAAAACATATTGTGTGTTTGTGGGTAATCTATATTTTATTACCGACTGCTAAAATGTGTATTGCCATCTATCGGTACTAGATATTACTTCATTGTACCGACTAGTAACATTAGACTGCTATCTAGCGGAAGCAAATGTTACTATGTCTTATCGACTAGTAGAATATGTTTCGCCATCTAGACAAAAGATAAAACAACACTAGGATAAAATCAAGATGGCTACCTGTCAATGTAATTTGAAAACCGTAAATACAGGCTATGTGCAGTGTAAAGTATTTAATTAAAAAAATCCTTTTAGTGATGCAATAATTAAGTGAATAATATTTTTTATTTATAATAATTCGTTTCATATTCTTTATTTAGTGATCGCCAATTCTGGATGAAAATAATTAAACTGGATAAAGTGCTGTGTGACAGTGTTATGTCATAACCTAAGAAAAATAATTTTCTTTATTAAATCCCAGAAAGCAGATGAATTCCAGACGTTCTTTTTATCAAATTATTATAACAAATACTAGTAAGTAAAGTATATATTTTGTTATACGAAATTCTACTAATTATTAAAATATATGGATTATTTTGTCTTTTAACTTTATGCATTATCTAAACATTCTCTCTCTTCAAACTTATTTTGATATATATATAAACTACTTTTAAAAATATTTTTAGATCAGCATGCAGATCTCTATTTTTAATTCCAATCCAAGAACATTATGCATACTCACGAGAAGAAGAATTCATTACACCATTCAATCAATGGAGATATATATTTCATTTTCTTACGGCTAACGATTAGAAGATTTGTATTGATTATGTCATCCGACCAAGAGTTTTATTCTATAATATAGGGTAAATAGAATGCAGGTGCACTAACAAAGAATAATCAAGACAAGAATGTGTCAAAAGGTAAGCATTGCAATCTTGTATTTGTAAAAAACAAACCTATAATAAACTGATTGATAAACTAAATCATTCCACAGGAAAGGTAAATAATTTGACTGGAAGTTTCTACTCATTATTATCAAGATTGATAAGAAGAATCCAACAATACTGCAACTATGAAAGATTTTTGATTGCACTGTTCTTATTATACTTGCACTGGGAGAAAATCATATGCAGTAGTATTCTGTCAAAAGAATACTAGAGGAAATATATCCTAGTTATCACGAAGTAAGAAATCAAATGGCAAATACATTATGTAAGGTAACTCTATTATAGAACAAAATCTTTTACAAAGTTTTGTACAAGGTAATAGAAAATATGTTTTGTTCATTGACTGACAAGAAAAGTTGATGTATTTGTTAATAATTATCTTCTTTGCAAAGATCTCCATGTGAATTATTATGCGAAAAGAATGCAGCTGCTCTGACTACAAATAATCTAGACAATAATATGTTTAAAGGTAATTATAATAATTTTGTTTGAAGAAGAAGTAAATATTATAATACTATTAAAATAAACTTACTTTTATCATGTAACAATTGATTTGTGGGTTGCATTTATTTTCAATCAATTAATAAAAACATATAGTGTGTGCGTTAACTATATTTTATTACCGACTGGTAAAATGTGTATCGCCACCTATCGGTACTAGATATTAYTTCACTGTACCGACTAGTAAATTTAGGCTGCCATCTAGCGGAAGTAAATGTTACTATGTCTCACCGATTAGTAGAATATGTTTCGCCATCTAGACATAAGATAAAACATCACTAGGATAAAATCAAGATGGCTACCTGTCAAAGTACTTTAAATACCATAAATACAAGCTATGTGTAATGTAAAGTATTTAATTAAAAAAATCCWTAGAGTGATGCAATAATCAAGTGAATAATATTTTTTATTTATAATAATTTGTTTCAAATTCTTTCTTTAGTGATCGCCAATTCTGGATGAAAATAATTAAATTGGATGTATTGCTGTGGGACAATGTTATGTCATACCCTAAGAAAAATAATTTTCTTAATTAAATCCGAGAATACAGATGAATTCCAGACGTTCTTTTTATCAAATTATTATAACAAATACTAGTAAGTAAAGTATATATTTTGTTATACGAAATTCTACTAATTATTA